TTTAGTGCAGTTTGCAAAATGTGCGTACGTGTAGAAAGAACCAGACACCAGGCACACACATCCATTGGGGAGGCAGGCAGACTCGAGCTGAAGTTAGTTGGGCTCTAAAGTTGACTCTACATTAAATCAAACACTTGGCGAAACATATGATCAGAAAAGTTGCTGAAATACACTTCCCTACCGCTTCTGGTGCGGAGTCATGGAAATGAGGCCGGCACAGGGAAATGACTCACACGAAGGGGCAGGTGGCAGGTGGCAGGGGGCAGGGGGAGGGAAGAGGGAAATGGGAAAGCGGAAGGGAACGGAGTAACGTACTGAAAGATTGTTCCTGTCAGCGGTTTATAGTTTCACTCATGAACATGAAACATTTAATGGATTGCCACCAGTTGGATATTCAGCACAGATTTTCCAGCATACCCCGCAGGCCCCGTGATGGCCATGTATCTGCCGAGGATTTCTTGGGGAAATACTTGGGAACTTGGCTTGAAATTATTTTTCAGGTGCCTGGGAGTAAAAGTAATAGTTAACGCATCTTTTTTGGGGGGGGGGGGGGGGGGGGGGGGGGGGGGAGGGTTTGGGCCGATACTTTGTCCCCAAATTGGCAGCAATAAATCATCAGCCTTGGGCCCAACGAATTTTATAGTTGACAAACGAAATCTCTTCCACTCATTTACTATCCCCACCCGAAGATACATTCCACCCTCCACCTCCCGCCGATTAGCATGGGGGCCTATTGGGCCACACCCATCCGAGGGGAGCTCGGGGCGTCACCTGAAACACTTGGGGCCATGCTGATTATTTTCTACTTTGCGACGTTTAAAGCGTGCTCTGGGTGTGGGGGCAAGTGGGGTCGGACTCCGTGCGGCATGTGCCTGTGTCAGCAACAGCTCAGCCGCGGCGTAGCATGGCACGGCGCGTGTAAGGCAACAGAAAATCGATTAACATGGCTTTAATGGCAGCCATCCTCTGCCTTCCTCTCTCTCTCTCTCTCTCTCTCTCTCTCTCTCTCTCTCTCTCTCTCTATGTCTGTCTTGTCTCCTCGCCCCAACATGATGTTGACAATGAGAGGGGGCTGTAGAGGGGCGCTGCAAACTTTTACACGCTTCAGAGGCAAATCCACCCCCATCCCCATTTCCGGTGTAAATGAGACAACATCGCGGGGGGTGGGGTCCCGGGTACGTCGTTTGGGGGGGGTATTAATTGTGACAGATTCAAGACTGAGCCTCGAACCTGATTTCGTTTTAAAGTTGGCCTTAAAGAGCGCCACCCGAATGACATATTGATGCGTTCCAAGGGGAAGGGGATGGTGGGTGGGGGCGAAGGTCAGAGTGCAGAGGACAATTGTAATTGACTTGGAATCGCTGTGGCATCTGGCATCTGCCGTGTCCGCTAAATGCAATTTAATTGAACCCGAACACTGAAAACCACTCTCGAATTCGAATTTGGCAATAGACCCAAAAGCAGCCCTCTCCCTACCTCTCCTACTCTGCGACTGCCAGCGACAAGCCCCCGAAACACTCTATCAAATTCATCAATAAAGATTTCATATTCAGCCCCAAATGAGGGGCTGGACAGGGGGGTGGGGTGTGGAGTGTAATCTGCGGAGTCCTATACCCTGAAAATCCAGCTGAAAAAAGAAAGAAAAACCCCAGCAACAATAATATTTGTAAATCAAATTTTCCCACATTTTCCGCATTCAGGTGTGCGTGTGTGTGTGTGTGTGTGTGTGTGTGTGTGTGTATGCACCCCCGAACAGCTCTAATTGAAAATGCAAATTACATTCGAACACGAAAATACTCGTAATTATAAAACAAGAAAGGATTTCCACACTGGATAGCCGAGGCTTCGAATACCCTTTGCTCTCGTGCTCTCAGGCCCTCATGGAGTGTTTCCTTAGCAACTACTCTTCGAGCCCTCGCCTCGGATTGTACGTATCCCAGCCAGCCCAAAGCTGTGTTGATCCGATCCCGATACTTCCGAAATGATCTATACTCTGATTGGCAAGAGTATTGCAAAGAAAACCAAACAACAACAGAAATGCAAATCAAATACAGGAAACACTATCGATTGCGTAGCTTATTGAATTATTGTTTCAGCAGTTACGGGAATGGAATTCTTTAAAATACAACCAACAAAAGCAGGGGTTCGAGGGGTTCCGGGGGTTCCGGGGGTTCCACACTCTCTGTTAAACAGATGCACCTCTTTCCACAGGAAAAAGGAATTTCATTTCTTAGAAATCAAGTATGTAACGTAGTAGATAATAGCTATCGCGCTAGCCTCGACCTATAAAGTCCTATAAAGCCGCTCAAAACATATCAGAATATTCAATCGTAATAATCCAAAACAATGCCTCTACCACATTTCCATATGCACATGCACATGCATATGCATATGGCCCCGTATGTATGTATATCCGTAGTTCTGGTTTTGGTTCCGTTTAGGCCTTGCTTTTTGACAAATTGGCATTGTGGCGCCCGACGGCAGGGGCTGGTCAGCGGCTATATAATTCATTACGGATGCAAACATTTGGTATGCACGCACTCGACATTTAAATGGAGTGTGCAACAATCGGCAATCGAACTGGGGAGTACCCTGTGTTGTGCCCAAAAGAGCCACGAATTCAAATTCAAATTTAAATTTCAAAAATGGTTAAGCAGTGTATATCAACCATTTTTGCATTAATCATCTGACTGCTTAACGCTGGTTTGCAAAAAGTTTAACGCTGTGAAACGGGTAACTTGTTGATTTGAACTGCTTGCCCCACTCATCATCCACCAGCTCCCCAGAACTGTTCTTCCTAACTGCACTGAACTGCTTTCCCTGCTGATATTTCCCTATCCCATGCTTGAAACTGCACTGCATTCATCGTATTGTACATACAACTATTTCCGCTTTCCACTGCTAGAAGCTAGAAGCATACACACCACTATTTTCAGGGTATTCCGTCACTCGAATCCGCATCCAGTGAAAAGCCAAATAAAACAGCTTTCCAAATGTCAACGCAATATATTTATGCAGAATTGATTTGACAAAAACATTGCCGAACAGCATCAGGCACCACAAAATTGCATGGTAATGAATTACACCCAAATACGAGTACAAATACACCCATATAACCCTGATCCAACAATAATAATAGCCTGTTAATGACAGGGCTTTTGCGGAGACCGCCCCAATCCCAACCCCAAAACACAAACCAAATGCCATTCAAACTGCACTAAAAGGTACTCAGGCCACAGGATCATCGAAAAGAAGACCTGAACACAATAATAATTATGCCATAAGCCGAGCACATACGACATACATATGTACATACATATGTACATACATATGTAAATACGTCCATCATTGAAATTTACAGACTGCACAAAGCAGTATTTAGCAACACTTAAGTTAACCAGCACTTAATCAATAAATTCTACAAATGAGAAATGAGAAATGAGAAATGCAGACACTTTATGGGTCAAGTTCTGGTGGTTAATTTCGGTGTTTTACTCGTCCTTCCATTGTCTTGGGTTCCGTTCCGTGAACCAAACAAACGTGTGCCCTGTGGTTACAGCTGTGGCTGGTAACGGTACCTGGCGCTGTTTGTCGTTGCACCACATGGGTTCCTGCTCACAAGTAGGTCCCGTCCCTCAGTGCCGCCAGTGCCCAGCGTGCGTGACTCCATGCCTGTTTGTAGTTTGATTTAGATTGGCTACGACTGGGGCCACGACTGGGGCTACGAGGGACGAGGGACGAGGGCACTGACACGGACACGGAGCGGGAACATCAACGGAAGTTTAGCGCATTGCAAGTGGAGCATGGAAATCGTTGGCATACGGAACACACACCCAGCCCCACCCAGCCACGGCTGTAGCAGGGGCTGCAGCAGGCGCTGTGCCTGTCGCATGGAAGGAGCAGTCGGACATTTGCAAATATGTATATGCACATGTCGACATAAGTACATGCATGCCCGCGCCGGCCACCAAATGAGGAGGCCAATGGAATTGATAGAACCAACTAAGATGCCTTCATTCGTCGCCCAGTCCTGTTACCATGCCCTGCCTCTGCCTCTGCCTCTGCCTCTGCCTCTCCAACTCGCTGATTAAACAGCAGGCTCCATCAGAATGGGGCCAGCAGCAGCAGCAGCAGCAGCAGCAACAAGACAAGTCTAGCCCCAGCGGCGTTTATGCGTTCAGCCTGCACACGATCAAGGGTTTTACATGGGCCAAAATGTGTGCTGTTCAACATTTACCAAGCTTTGCTTTAACAATCATGAATGGTTCGTGAGAACTCGTCTCGTGTGAACATTGTGGCACAGCAGGCAGGCAGGCAGCTGCTGAAGCCTTGAGGTCACTGCAAATGCGTGACGCGTGAAAATTCGTCAAATGCAGGCCAACTGACAGAAGAGACTTGGCCGAAAACACACCCCCCACCCTCCAGCCTGCTCCTGATGCTCCTTGCTTAAATATGCACAAAGACCCCCCAACCCCGCCCCCCCACCAACGCATGGCCAAAGGCTCGAAAGAGAAGTGCTTGGCCATGTGGATGCGCATGGGAATGGAACCGAGTGGAGGGGGAGGTTGTGTTGGAGGACGGAGATTGCGTATCAACTGATTAAGCAAGACACAAGGCAAGACAAGCGCAGCCGGGACCCTGGACTCTGGACCCACCCAGGAACCACTACCCACTACCCACTACCGTGTCATAGCCGTGAGCAAAGGCATTCATATGGTAACAGGCGATTCCCGCCACTTGAACTGCAATTAAAAGTTGAAGGCTGCTCTGATCTGCCGCTTGCATAAATCTGGCAATTAAATCGGACGTAAGCCGCAGTTGACAACCCTACGAGGTAGCCCTACAAGTTAAATATTTGATTTCTCTATAAACCGAAGCCAAAGGCAGGCGTTGACATTACCATTAGTTTATGATTATTGAGTCGTGCCTTTAAATCGAATTGAGCATTGACCCGAGTTTCGAAAACAAAACATTTTTGCTTATTGCTGGATTTTTCTTCTTGGCCAAAGTTCCGTTCCCGAACCGATCAAGGCCGTCCTCTGATTCGATCTCTGTAAGTAAGTACGTAAGTAATCTTGCAATTGGAGTGACGTGATGTTTAGAGACCTAAGAGATCTGCCACAGAAAAGATGGCACCAAAGATTCGCATTTCAAGGGTGCCCGCTGCAGTCGCGGCCGGTCGGTTGTCCGATGGGAAGCTGTCGGTAGGCACCCAGACCGGGATTCAGATCTGCGTGGCTCCGAGTCGGGTGCCAACGCGTCCCAAAATTATCACCGGCAAGGACCAGCTGAGCATGATACGCCGTGGCGTGAAGCGGGCCAGCCAGCCGAAGAACTTCCTTTTTGTACCCAAAGAACGTTCCATCACTGCTCGCGCATTGGTCGCAGGGGCTATTCCCCCGCCTTTGGCCAACGAGAAGGCCTGCCAAGCAACACCGGTCGGCAAGGAATTGAAGATCAGGCAGCCAAAGGCCGTGGCTTCGTTCAGGCCACGGCAGATTCCCCCGGTACCGATGGAGGAAACGCGCAACGAGAGCGCCCATAACAAGGAGGTGAAGCGCTTGAAGTACCTGATGGAAATTGTGAACGCCGATAAGCCACCAAACTGGAGCTTGGCCTCAGACATGTGGCGGGAGATTGATTTCCTGGAGGATCGTATCGACGCGTATCAGAAACAAGAATCGGCAAACACAGCACAAAAGTAAAGCACAAAAGCACAAAAGCACAAAAAGTACACTAACAAGTCACACTTCACACACGAAAGAGTCGATTGCGCTAATCGTTTGCACAAATCGTCTGCAACAATCGTCCCAATGTACCTGCAACAGGCAACTGAACATACACTAAAACAAAATCACAATCACATTCAGATTCAGATTTGCTGTCGTTGATTTATTAAAGCCGTACTGCGAACTAGTTCCTAATTGTAGAGACCTAGTTCTCACTTATGAGAGAACTAGTTCTGACCTTGCAGCATGCATTCCCAGTCCACGTTTGGAGTATCGTTGCACTTTAGTCCACATCCTCGTACTGTTTGATATAGTAAAGAATGTTACTACCTTCCTGAGGTGATGCTCCGGCCCAAGTTACCAATCGGGCTTTTCCCACAGCCTTATCCATCTTTGATCACGGCCAAAGCTGATCTTCGGCAAGAGGAGCTACCAATCGCTTTAATTATAAACATGCTCATCAGAAATAGAGTGTTTGGAGTGCATATAATCATTATATATGTATATATCTTAACTTATTATAAGGGGTAACGTACATATGTATATTGTAAACGCTGTTACATGATATATATATGTACGCACATCCGTGTAGTACGTGCTCATCATATTTTACGAGAACGAGAACGAAGGCTATTCTTCTAAAGGAAAACCTGCCCAATGGGGGTAAGACTAGGCCTGTCCGTCCCTCATACAGACACACATCCATCCACACAACAAAGTACGAGTACAAGTACAAGTGGGAGAACGAGTAGTATATCCATATCAACATGTGCCATAAAACACGCACACACACACGGCACGCACACAGTCCAAAGATGATTATTATGCGCCTTATCGGAGTGCAGGCAGGCAGCAGATCAACAAGGAAAGAAAAACAGGTTCTCGACGAGTCGATTTCTGTATGCCCTTACGCGGACCCTAGGCCATGGATCGGACTAACCACCACTTCGTGCACGTCCGCATAGTGAGGGCGAGAGTGAGAGCAACTGATAGTCGCTCTGTCGTCGCGTCCCTCTGGTGAGAGAATAACAAAGAAGCAGCCATAAAAACAGAGCGCAGTGCTACCCCAGCAAGCGGAGCCTCACTCTTCAATTGCTCGAGATAGCAGCAACACCGACGAGAACAAAGAGCTGAGAAAATGCCACGCCCAGTGCTGCTGATACACGGAGGAGCCGGGGACATTCCGGACTCGCGCATCGCTGGCAAGTTCAAGGGCATCAAGGAGGCGCTGCGCTGTGCTTGGGGCAGCCTGGTGCCGGCCAGTGGTGCGAAGGGCAGCGCCCTGGACGCCGTCGAGACGGCGGTGCGCAGCATGGAGCTGGACGAGAACTTCAATGCCGGCTACGGCTCCTGCTTGAACACCGACGGGCAGGTGGAGATGGAGGCCAGTCTAATGGAAGGGCGGGATCTGCGCGCCGGCTGCGTCACTCTGCTGCGGGACGTGATGCACCCGATCACGGTGGCGCGTCGTCTCATGGAGAAACAGCGGCACACGTTCATCGGCGGCGAGGCGGCCCAGGAGCTGGCCCTGTCCACGGGCAGCGAGCGGCTGCCAGCGAACGCCTTGGTCACGGAGGGGGCCCGCTTCACGCTGCAACAATTCAAGGAGCAGCTAACCCAGGGCAAGGATCCCTTCTTCGCCCGCACAGAGCTGGCCGCTGAGCAGAAGACCGACCCCAGCGGAGAGACGGTGGGCGCTGTGGCCATGGACCAGGATGGCCAAATTGTTGTCGGCACCTCAACCGGCGGCATCACAGGCAAGTGGCCCGGTCGCATTGGCGACACGCCCATCCTGGGCAGCGGCACCTATGCGGACAACGCCAGGGGCGGCGTTTCCACCACCGGCCATGGCGAGACAATCATGCGATACAATCTGGCCCAGCGCATCCTGGCCGCCATCGAGCACAAGGGCATGTCCGCCCAAGCGGCGGCAGACCAGGAGTGTCGCGAGATGACCAGACGCATCGGTGGCACGGGCGGCGCCATCGTTGTGGGCCATGCCGGGGATCTGGGCATCAGCTTTACATCGCAACGCATGGCCTGGGGCTACATACAGGACGACACCATCTTCTACGGCATCGAGGGCCAGGTGGTACACCAGGAGCCGCTCTCTTAGGCACTTGAATGGTTCTCATTTAATGGCTCACACATTCTTCTAAAAAGAAAGCAGAACTACACGTGAATAAATTACTTAAGTTACGAATCTAGGATCTAAGTTACAAGAAAGCAGCATACAAAGTTATGCTATAATATAACTCGTACGTACGTAAATGCTATCCATGATTGCATTACATTTTGTTGCTTTTTGTTTGTTCTATATGCGGGCGAAGAGGGCAGGTCCCCAGATCCCACAGTCAGGTCCGGACAGGTAGTTGTGCTTTGTTGCAGTCCCAGGTCCATTACCAATACTGCAAGCCTGTTGTCTAGTTCTAGTTATATTTCTAGTTGGAGGTAAAGCTCATTTATCTGTGTCCACTCCGTCAAAGTCCTTTGGGGCGGATGCGGAGTACAAGAAATCTCAACGTGAAGCTATGTCTGACTTAGCTTAGGGGCAGGAGAAAGAAAGAGCACCTTCGGACGTGCTATAATCGTTGTGTTAGCTAGCTGTGGACAGCCGGGGGGGCCACGTCACGCTGCGACTCGTGAGCCTCGGTGATGCCGTAGCAGTGCTTGGCTTTACCGTCGCGGTACTTGTTCTCGTGCTCCACAGAGTGCGAGTTGGTGCGGCACTTGACGAGACACAGCTCGAAGTGATCTGCCACACTGGCATAGATGTATTTGGGTGTGTAGGCTGACTGCAGCACCAGTTCGAGGAGTGGCTGCTTGTCGGGATGCAGGCAACAGGACACGCAGTACTCGTACAGGCGGCAGCAGTTGGTGGTGGCGTTGCAGGTGCGACAGCTGTAGTAGCCGATTCCGGGCATCTCCAGGTTGCAGCAGCCGCTGGGGAGGGCCTGCTCTCGCAGGCACACAAAGCCGCGCTCGTCGGTGAGCAGCTGGCGGCCCTGCACCGAGTTGCGGCACCGCAGTTCCGTGTCCCGAGTACGATTGATGTGCTGTTCTGGCGCCAAAAGCTGCTGCGTCCAGAGGAGCGGGCGCGTGCGCTGCACCTCAAAGTCGTCATAGTGCAGACCACTAAAGGCGCCCTGCTACGGAACTTTACGAGATTAGTTTTCCACTGTCCAGACTGTTCTCGTGCTACTTACTCGATCCAAAAGGTTGCCCCAGATAATGCACATAAGCAGCAGCAGCACAAGAATTATGTAGATGATGCGTCTTCTCAGCAGGCGTGTAAGTGCGGCTGGCCACATCGTATGCTAGTGACCGCATCCCAGCAGCATAGCCAGCCCAGCCCCGCTACCAGAGTGGGAGGGCCCACTGTGACGCCGCCTGTTCGGCTTCCTCCGCTTGCTGCTGCACTGCGACAGCTCTCCACTGGCCCGCACCCTGCATGCGCATTGGGTTCAGCTGCTCCGCTATTCCGATGTTTATGCTGCTGTGACACGTGGTATTCGTCCTGTGGCCAAAACAATTAGCCCACTGTTGCAACTTCCAACTTTATTTACAGATTAAATAATTTAAATTTTACAGAATTTTTGTTCTTTCTCTTTTGTTTTGCTGCAGACCAGTGTGACCAGTGCGGCCGCGGACTTATCGTTAAAATATACCGTCAGACCCTCAGAAATATACCAAAATATACCGTCTCATTTTAAAAATATACCGTAAATATACTGACGAATTCAAGTTATATATTCCATGATTTTTTTATTCCGTGGAATATGACTGGATTCAAGACCTAGATACTAGCCCTGCCCACATCATTTTATCCAATTAATAAATCTACAAAGTCTAGAAAGCTGCACACAATTGAGGTGCTGGGCTACCGATAGTATCGATATTTACTTTGCATGCTATCAATGTTGCCAGCAGCAAGGTACAAAAATCAAAATGAAAAATCGGCAAAATTTTCTTTAGTCTTTGGGAACTCTATAAGGGCATGAATTCTAATAAAACTGTGTTTGGACATCTTGAGTTTCTTCGTGTTATCCTTTTCGGTAGTATAGTCTACGCTTAGCACGCAAGACGGGCCGAACCATACACTGCTTTTTGGCGGTTTCTTCTTGGACTTTCATTCATACGACGCTCTGTTCGCAGTCTGCAGAAACTTATTGTGTGATTATTAAATAGGCTATTATTATTCTGGTTTTCATTACCAGATTTTAATTCTATAATGCTACACAGAATTCCAGCATTTTAGTCGAAGTCCCTCAAACTGAGCGTTAGTAATTGACTAACTTATCGGTGAACTAGTTGAATTGAACAGAAAATTCACTCACCTCATTTGAAGTTTCAGATGTGTGTTTGCTTGTCGACAAAAAAATTGTCTGCTTTTACATTAGTCAATTATGCGGCAGAGGTAAAGAAATAATTTAGTTAAGGCATACTCTTTTAAAGAACGGGAACCTAATCCTGAACTAGCTCAATTGAGCTTAAATAGCACACTATATCGATACCCATCCCTAGCAAAATTTATACGTTTTCGTTTTGGTCTCAACTTGAGCGGGCTTAAAGCCGTAGGAGGGAAAGTTCTAACCTGCAAGCGGCACAAACAACGGCCAGCGCCAACGTGCCCACCAAAACGAGCGGGCTCACTAGTTGCTCCCCAGTCGGCGACGAGACGTTGCCGCTCCGCTCTACACTCACCACAGCCGCAAACAGCTGTTGCCGTGTATTTGCTGCCACCGCTGCAACCCACACCCACCGCACCTCACAGCAGCGGCATAACCTGCCAAGATGCGTATCCAAGCTGCCTGTCTGTTGGCCCTGGTGGCGCTGCCAACGCTGTGTCTGGGCCTGCTCGAGGGTCTGTACTGCGGCAAGGAGGACTGCTACGATGTGCTCGGCGTGACACGTGAGTCGTCCAAGTCGGAGATTGGCAAGGCCTACCGCTTGCTGGCGCGCAAGTATCATCCGGATCTGCATCGCGGCGTCGAGGCCAAGGCCCTCGCGGAGGAGCAGTTCAAGCTAATAGCCACTGCATACGAGATCCTGCGCGACGAGGAGTCGCGCAATGACTACGACTATATGCTGGACAACCCGGATGCGTACTATGCGCATTACTATCGCTACTACCGCCGCCGCGTGGCGCCTAAGGTGGATGTGCGCATTGTGATCGTGGTGGTGCTGACAATTATTTCAGTGATACAGTACTATTCCGGCTGGCAGCGCTACGACTCGGCCATCAAGTACTTTGCCACGGTGCCCAAGTACCGCAACCAGGCGCTGGACATTGCCCGCGACGAGATCCAGGAACGCATCCAGAAAAAGGGCAAGAACCGCATGTCCAAGACCGACCAGAAGGAGGAGCTGGAGCGCATCATACGCAAGGTCATCGAGGAGAAGATGGACGTGCAGGGCGGCTACGCAAAGCCCACGCTGTGGGACGTCCTCTGGGTGCAGCTGCTCATCTGCCCCTACACGATTCTCTCGTTCATCGTGTGGCATGGCCAGTGGTTTTGGCGCTACACGATCCTCAAGCAGCCGTACGGACGCGATCAGAAGCTGTATCTGGTGCGGCGCTACCTGAAGATGGGGCAGCATCAGTTCAATGCGCAGGACGACAAACAGATCGAGGAGTATCTGCATTTGGAGCTGTGGAAGCGCGACAACTTCGAGGCGTGGAAGGCCGAACAGGACGAGGAGATGAAGAAGAAGCTGGCGGAGAATCCACGCTACAAGGCCTACAGGCGCTACATGAAGAACCATGGCCCCGGACGCATCACCTTCGAGGATTAGCCAGCATAGCCCAGATCCCCCACACACACGCCACACCGATGTTCAAGTTTTATTGTTCCATCTGTAACCCGACCGACCCCCAGAATTTCCCCCCTTCCCCCCAAGCAACCAACACTCGTTTTTACATACATACATATACATATATATATTTTTTTACGAACATTTTCAATGTCTAGGGCGAAGAGAAGTTAGATTTTGCATTAGCCTAACAAATAACTTAATAATGTATCGTTCCATAATTTGTGGCGTTGACCCCGCCACAGGCCACACAGCAGAGCCGCTGCCGTAGCCGCAGCCGCAGAAACACACAGTCAAACCGGTTCAAGAACGTGGCCAAAAACTTCAGTTTTGTGCCATCTCAGCACGGTACAGCGGTACAGTGGTATAGCGGTACAGTGGATAGCGGCTACGATGAGCACGATAATATTTTTAGAACAATTAACCCTTCTCCGGCACGGAGACCCCTGGCCCCTGCCCCTGCCCCTGCACCCGTTCAGGTTCTTCTCTTATAGTTATAGCAAATCTACGCTGAATGTTAAATGTGAATGTGAGAATGTAATAAAACTACAATAGATAGAGATTACTGTCTGTGTCCAACACACATGTCCAACGGAACTCTTGTGGATTTGCACAGTTGTTCTTCTGCGATGCTAATGCTGACGCGGCCACCGAATTGGATGCCGTGGCACGGCACATGTTATTCTTCTTGTAGCACATATTCAGGGCCAGCTTCTCTTTTTGCTTCGCTTCAGCCATAAAAGTGTGTGTTTATACAGCTGATAGAGCAATCTCCATCTCATTCGCATTCTCTACCACAAAACGACTAGGGTGCGGGTGCGGGTGCGTGTGCGGGTGGTAGCAGGGTGGGCGAGAGTGGGCGGGGCGGGGCCGAGGCCGTATACTAATACTAGTCAATAAGATATTTGGAATCGTCAGCGAACTCCTCAGAGTCCAGAAGATTCCCGACGAGCGCGTAGGGGACGGAGCGCACACCCTGGTGATAGACATCGTCGAAGTCATCGTGCTCTGGGTCTTGATCTGGATCGTCCAGCTCCAGGTCCTCTTCCTCCGCCGCCTCCATATCGTGATCGTCGGCGTCGCACTCGTCCTCCTCGTTGAACATGAAATCATGGGTGACAATGCATTCCTCCAGCACCTTGGGAGCCGGCTCCCCAAGCATCAAATGGCCGATGGACAATGTCTCCGGGACGGCATGTCTCTTTTGCACCTTGCGTGTGGCCGCGGGCCGCTTGACCGCTGGGGCGGCCGCAGTGACGCCGTTGTGCTGATCCATGTGGGCGGCCAGGTAGCTCTTCTTGGTGAATCCCTTGTCGCACTGCGTGCACTGGAACTGCTTCTTGCCGGTGTGGGTGCGCCGGTGCACGGACAGCACGTGGGCGTAGGCGAAGCCCTTGTGGCACACCTCGCACACATACGGACGCTCGCCTGTGTGGATACGCTCGTGCTTTTTGCTGCTGCCAAAGTCGGAGAATCGGCGGTCGCAGTAGCGACACCCATAGGGCTTTTGCCCGGTATGGACACGCATATGTCGGCGCAGCTCCACGTTCGATATGAAAGCCTTCTGGCAGACCTCGCACGGATAGGGACGCTCGTTGTTATGGCGACGCATGTGCGCATTGAGGGCATGCTGATACTTGTAGGTGTTCCCGCACACATGGCAGATCTTGCGCGCACGCTCTGCGTGACGACGCGTCTCCGGAATGGCTATCTGTTGGCTATCGAAAAGCACGTAGCCGTCGTCGTCGATCTCCCTCTTAAAGATGGGTGTGACGCGTTTGTAAGTCCGTTTGCTTATATTGCATCGTTGGATCGTGTTGAGGGCGCGTGCATTCGCCGTCCGCATCGGTGGGGGCGGAGGCGGTGGTGGCAACTCCTCCTGTGGCTCCCCCTCACTCTCCTTAGCTAGTGGCGTTTCGATCTCATAGGCATGCTCTGGGGTCGGGGGGTCGTCGTCCCAGGGTTGGGGGACTACCATCTTCTTGTCTTCCTCATCAGACGACATTTCCTCGGCTGGCTGTTCCTTTATGGGCACCGTCTCTATGAGGGTGTCCAGCGACATGACCAGTGAATCGGAGGCATCCGGCATCAGGCCAAGTGAGTCTGTGTCCTCGTCCTCGTCTTCCTCAAAGTACTCAACCTTAGTGACAGGAAGATTTTCAGCAGCTGTTGTGGCAGCTGCAGCTCCACCTGCACCTGTCGCTGCTGTGGTCAATGTTGACCCAGACACTGTGGTTGGTGTAGTACTTGCCCTGGACGCTGCTGACACTGAACCCACCACCGTTCGACTTGCCAGAGGAATGTCTGCATCCACTTCGATGCGTTTGATTTTCAAGCTGGATGGCAGCTTGACGTGGTGCTGTTCTAAATCCAGTTTCAGCTGCTGGTTCTTGGCCAATTCGTCGACGTCGACGAGAAGCGCGCTGCTTGTCGCAGTCAGGAATAGCTTCTCGATCAGCACGCACTTCTCATAGAAGCGATAGGCGACGCCCAGTTCACTGTGGCACTGCTCACAGATTTTGTCCGGCCATCGCTGTATTTGTAAACTCTCCAGTTGCAGGGTGGTGCAACACCGGATCTTGTCCGCAATCAGGGTGTGCGGAGGCTCCAAGTCATGGCTATAAATGGAGCTGTGGCCGGGCTCCTCGTTCAGGCAGATCAGACAGGCCAAGTCCAGGTCCACGACACGTGACTCCATACTGTTCGCCATTAGCTTATTATAGCAACAATTAATTGCTAAACGCAATTTTACACAAAAACGCAATTCCAATCCAAACACCTCTGCTGTTGCTTTTTTTCTCATATAGCGATGAGCGTTTGCGATTTGCATGTACCTGCTGCTCGATGGTCTTTTGCAGATGCGATACATCGATAAGTGGGTATCGCATCAGCCAAAGCACTTCGGTGCGACATTTTAGATATTTTTATTTATTTATAAACATAGGTAAGGACATGGATAATGCATTGTGGGATCTGGTGAATCAATACAAGGTCAGCAGCATGCATAAGCCACGCGTCTAGCCCGCTTCAGCTTCGCCGATGAGAACAAAATGATTAAAACGATGGCAAAGATGATCAGATCAGCTTATGAAATGCCTTTATATGATAATGTTGATAGTCGATTTAACCTTTGCGCAAAAAACTTAAAAATGGAAACAAAAATTTAGAGTACACTCGCAGTATTAAGACCGTGATAGTCGGCACATGAGTCAAACAAGCTTAATTTTTTTAATTCCCAAATTCCGTAGGCATCTAGATTACTTGTGCCGCTCTGGATTCTCTGGAGACAAAGCGAATCTTATCCACAATCCAGATGGGATGCGGCAACACGTAATGGTTGTAATTGGAGCGGCGGGCTCCTCGTTCTTGCTGAGAAAAAAGGCCAAGTCCGAGTTCACATCCTCCAGGTTGATCCTGCAAATCAGCAACAGCAATCTTAAACGACATTTCAACCAAAAGAGTCTGCTCCAACCACACACCTACAGCAAAGGCTCAAAGGAGTCGCTGTTTTTTGAACTGTGATACGTGTGTGTGTCTCAACGCTTTTTGTGGAGACTATTCTATTTTAGTTTTATTTCCTCACACAATTGTTCTAGAAATGCGGCTGCGATTCAAGATGGTGGCACACAAAACGGACTCTGACAATTTAAACGCAGTGTATTTACTTAGATTTTTAGTTATTTTAGCTCTTCTCCCATTGCGATAGGCCGCTATGAAAAACATCGATAATTTAAAAAAATCGATGAAAATCCACAAAAGAAACCCGCAACAGAGTCGGCGGTTTATTATTGTATTCTTCTTGACAGTCTGATAGAGTTCCGAAAAATAGTTTTATCGCAGGTCACGCACTCATTTGAATTTAAATTTAAATTTTTCTAGATTTCGCTAGATTGTCGTTCCAATGGTGTCCTATCAATATCCCATGAACAAGCTAGCCCAGGAGCTGATGAACTTCTTCACGGTTGTTGTGGATAAGGAGGAGTCTTCTGCTCCGGTACTGTTCCAGCGATGCGGCGTGCTCATTCGCTTTCACATCGAGGAGATTCCCGACCGTGGAGACATCAGCATCGCTAACATCAGTAAGTATTGGGAAGCCTACTGTCGTAAGCAGGGACGCAAGATGCGCCAGGACACATACAAGGAAATGGACCTAATGCTGCCCAATGAGGCGGCAATGCAGGGTCTAATTGAGAAGGCCAAAGACTGGGTGTTCCCCCTGCAGGGGATCACGCCCCTCTACAAGGATCGCTGCGCGTTCAGCTTTCACCGTCGTCCGGTTATTGCTTACGTTCTGAACGTAGTGCTCCAGCAGGGGGATCGGTATGGTCACATCTCGAAGTCGGACAAAGCCCCAACTCTGTGCCTTGGTCAGAGCCCGAACACGACTCTCGACGATGGGACCGAGCAGCTCGGTCATTATCGTCTCAGTCAGCTCCGCGTGATTACCCGCCGCCTAATGGCTTACTCCGCCTGGCGCCTGGTGGATCCAGATCAGCAGTCTGATGACACTCTCCGCGTGACCGTAGAGGCTCAACGTTGCCCAAACCAGCCGACAGACCACGTTTGTCTGGTCTGTGGACCCGTACTGGAGCCCGTCGGGAAGACAGCCACCACAATGAACAGAGACAGCTACCTTGCGTGAGTCTTACTCGCTTACCCCCTCCATGCCATGCATTACTTTCTATCTCTTTCTATTCCATGGACAGATTGCGCTCAAAGGACATGATACTTATGGCCATGCATCGCAATGGCGTCCGCATGAGTAGCTCGCACGGCGACTTCGATGGCCTTATCCAGCGCCTGGGTGCTGCTGCCGTGATTGTGGATCTGTTTGAGGTGCGCCATGCCTCGGCGGCCAGTGTGGTGCGCAATGGATCGGGCGGCTCCAAGGGGGCCTCGTACATTCTATACAATTCGGCCCGCCTAGAGAGGCTGCTGCGTACCTTCAATGCCCAGGTGGAGGCAGGTGTCTACCAGCCACTGCCGCCGCTGGACGACATCGATCTCAGCCTCTTGGAGGACGATGTGAGTTGAGTTGAATCTCCAACGGGAGACCGTAACTAAAACGTAACGTTGTTTTTCGGTTGTTTTCCTGCAGCTCGACTGGAAACTGATCTACGGCTACCTACTGCCCTTCCCAGAGGTGGTCGAGTCCACGCTGAATCTGCTGCAGCAGGGTCAGTGTGACGTGCACCTGTTGGTGCGCTACATCAGTAGCCTGGCCGCAGTCTTCAGCCGCTACTACCGCCAGAAGAAGATTCTCGTTCAGATGCGAGACCAGCTGATGCCAGTCCTCTATGCCCGCGTCTACCTAATTAAGGCGGTGCGTCAGGTGCTCAATGTGGCCCTCTCGCTGCTCGGCATAGAGCCCGTCACCTACATATAGATATAGTACATATTATTCATAGTTTTACCCATTGGCCCAATGACCAGCCACTACACTACTGCCACTACCCCCCACTGACCCAGCTGATGTATTGAGTGTATAACTCTTCTGGTATACGCACCTATGTATCTGTGTATCTAATTGTGCATTAATTGTTGAACAATGATTTAAGAATAAGACTGAAGTCGAGGCTTAGAGTCGACTGCTCTTGATGAAGTAAAACAGTGGTCTCTCTTCTTCTGTGAATAGGGGAATAGGGGGCCAACTGTATCGCTATAAGGGTTATATAGAGTCAAGTCATCCCCAAATACAATAGACTGTGGAGCTCATTCAGTTATGGAACCCGATGGTGCTTTGTCTGAGTGCCTGAGTGATATGAAAAGATCGGATGCGGCCACCTGTGGAGCAGTGGGCGTGTGTTTTCCAATAATTGATACGTTTATTCTTCAATATGAAGTTATTTGTCAAATCTCAATCTACATAGTATATATGTACAGGTTCCTATTTAGCCAGCTATTCGAATATTCAAAATAATCGGGCATTCAGCTCTCGCACCGAAAACATCCTTCAATCCACGATCCTGGCTTACTTTTTCTTCATTTGGCTAATCGATTGGCAATAAATTGAGTACATTCAGACATACATGTATAAATACTTACACAAACATACAATACATTTAACATACGTATACATATAAATTTATAATACTATGTGGGAGATGGCGTGGCGGACTGGGAGTGAGAGGCCCCACCATCATCCAGCATCCATTCAGGCCGGCTGCTTCCGCTTTTTGGGACTCGGCTACTGCTTAATGGGCGGAGATGCATTGGCTTGGCGTGCTGCCTACCCGCAGGTTGGCCTTTCCGTTCTTGTTGGGCTTCATGTGCGGGTTGAGGGCGAGCTGATAGAACCTGTGGGTGCAGACCTTTGGCGCACGCTCCGGTTGGCTGTGCGCCTTCTGGCTTTGCTTATATTGGGTCGTTGGGTGGTGTTAGGAACCCGTGATAGCGGTGGCGGTGCTTGTGCTGACGATAGTGCTGGTGGAGGTGGAGGAGGAGGCGAAACTGGTGGCTGTTCCACCACTGTCTCCTCCATTCTAATTTGATAGAAATGTTCTGGGGCAGGGTCGTAGTGCCAAGGACTTGGAATGATCATTTTTCCACTCTCCTGATCTGAAATATCCACCGACTGCTCCTTCATGGGAACCGTCTCGATAAGGGTGTCCAGGGACATGACCACTGACCTAGATGCCTCTGGTATCTGGGGCAGGGAGTCTGTGTTCTCCTCGCTCTCCTGACAATACTCCACCTTGATCACGGGCATATTCGCTGTTGGGCCATACGGTGTTGTGGATTTCGCACTGGAACTGGCGCTTGCACCTGCACTTCCTCTTGTTGCTGGACACATCGCACGACTCGCCACAGGAGTTTCAGCATCCACGTCGACGCGCTTGATTTTTAAACTGGGGGGCAGCTTGACGTGGTGCTGTTCCAGATACAGCTTCAGCTGCTGGTTTCTGGCCAACTCGTCGGCATCGACGGAGTGCGAGCTGTTTGTCGCAGTCAGGAATAGCTTCTCGATCACAACGCACTTCTCATAGAAGCGGTAGGCGACAACCAGTTCACTGTGGCACTGTTCACAGATTTTGTCCGGCCATCGCTGCATTTGTAAACTCTCCAGTTTCAGGCTGGTGCAACAGCGGATCTTGTCCGCAATCAGGGTGTGCGGAGGCTCCAAGTCATGGCTATAAATGGAGCTGTGGCCGGGCTCCTCGTTCAGGCAGATCAGACAGGCCAAGTCCAGGTCCACGACACGTGACTCCATACTGTTCGCCATTAGCTTATTATAGCAACAATTAATTGCTAAACGCAATTTTACACAAAAACGCAATTCCAATCCAAACACCTCTGCTGTTGCTTTTTTTCTCATATAGCGATGAGCGTTTGCGATTTGCATGTACCTGCTGCTCGATGGTCTTTTGCAGATGCGATACATCGATAAGTGGGTATCGCATCAGCCAAAGCACTTCGGTGCGACATTTTAGATATTTTTATTTATTTATAAACATAGGTAAGGACATGGATAATGCATTGTGGGATCTGGTGAATCAATACAAGGTCAGCAGCATGCATAAGCCACGCGTCTAGCCCGCTTCAGCTTCGCCGATGAGAACAAAATTATTAAAACGATGGCAAAGATGATCAGATCAGCTTATGAAATGCCTTTATATGATAATGTTGATAGTCGATTTAACCTTTGCGCAAAAAACTTAAAAATGGAAACAAAAATTTAGAGTACACTCGCAGTATTAAGACCGTGATAGTCGGCACATGAGTCAAACAAGCTTAATTTTTTTAATTCCCAAATTCCGTAGGCATCTAGATTACTTGTGCCGCTCTGGATTCTCTGGAGACAAAGCGAATCTTATCCACAATCCAGATGGGATGCGGCAACACGTAATGGTTGTAATTGGAGCGGCGGGCTCCTCGTTCTTGCTGAGAAAAAAGGCCAAGTCCGAGTTCACATCCTCCAGGTTGATCCTGCAAATCAGCAACAGCAATCTTAAACGACATTTCAACCAAAAGAGTCTGCTCCAACCACACACCTACAGCAAAGGCTCAAAGGAGTCGCTGTTTTTTGAACTGTGATACGTGTGTGTGTCTCAACGCTTTTTGTGGAGACTATTCTATTTTAGTTTTATTTCCTCACACAATTGTTCTAGAAATGCGGCTGCGATTCAAGATGGTGGCACACAAAACGGACTCTGACAATTTAAACGCAGTGTATTTACTTAGATTTTTAGTTATTTTAGCTCTTCTCCCATTGCGATAGGCCGCTATGAAAAACATCGATAATTTAAAAAAATCGATGAAAATCCACAAAAGAAACCCGCAACAGAGTCGGCGGTTTATTATTGTATTCTTCTTGACAGTCTGATAGAGTTCCGAAAAATAGTTTTATCGCAGGTCACGCACTCATTTGAATTTAAATTTAAATTTTTCTAGATTTCGCTAGATTGTCGTTCCAATGGTGTCCTATCAATATCCCATGAACAAGCTAGCCCAGGAGCTGATGAACTTCTTCACGGTTGTTGTGGATAAGGAGGAGTCTTCTGCTCCGGTACTGTTCCAGCGATGCGGCGTGCTCATTCGCTTTCACATCGAGGAGATTCCCGACCGTGGAGACATCAGCATCGCTAACATCAGTAAGTATTGGGAAGCCTACTGTCGTAAGCAGGGACGCAAGATGCGCCAGGACACATACAAGGAAATGGACCTAATGCTGCCCAATGAGGCGGCAATGCAGGGTCTAATTGAGAAGGCCAAAGACTGGGTGTTCCCCCTGCAGGGGATCACGCCCCTCTACAAGGATCGCTGCGCGTTCAGCTTTCACCGTCGTCCGGTTATTGCTTACGTTCTGAACGTAGTGCTCCAGCAGGGGGATCGGTATGGTCACATCTCGAAGTCGGACAAAGCCCCAACTCTGTGCCTTGGTCAGAGCCCGAACACGACTCTCGACGATGGGACCGAGCAGCTCGGTCATTATCGTCTCAGTCAGCTCCGCGTGATTACCCGCCGCCTAATGGCTTACTCCGCCTGGCGCCTGGTGGATCCAGATCAGCAGTCTGATGACACTCTCCGCGTGACCGTAGAGGCTCAACGTTGCCCAAACCAGCCGACAGACCACGTTTGTCTGGTCTGTGGACCCGTACTGGAGCCCGTCGGGAAGACAGCCACCACAATGAACAGAGACAGCTACGTTGCGTGAGTCTTACTCGCTTACCCCCTCCATGCCATGCATTACTTTCTATCTCTTTCTATTCCATGGACAGATTGCGCTCAAAGGACATGATACTTATGGCCATGCATCGCAATGGCGTCCGCATGAGTAGCTCGCACGGCGACTTCGATGGCCTTATCCAGCGCCTGGGCGCTGCTGCCGTGATTGTGGATCTGTTTGAGGTGCGCCATGCCTCGGCGGCCAGTGTGGTGCGCAATGGATCGGGCGGCTCCAAGGGGGCCTCGTACATTCTATACAATTCGGCCCGCCTGGAGACGCTGCTGCGTACCTTCAATGCACAGGTGGAGGCAGGTGTCTATCAGCCACTGCCGCCGCTGGACGACATCGATCTCAGCCTCTTGGAGGACGATGTGAGTTGAGTTGAATCTCCAACGGGAGACCGTAACTAAAACGTAACGTTGTTTTTCGGTTGTTTTCCTGCAGCTCGACTGGAAACTGATCTACGGCTACCTACTGCCCTTCCCAGAGGTGGTCGAGTCCACGCTGAATCTGCTGCAGCAGGGTCAGTGTGACGTGCACCTGTTGGTGCGCTACATCAGTAGCCTGGCCGCAGTCTTCAGCCGCTACTACCGCCAGAAGAAGATTCTCGTTCAGATGCGAGACCAGCTGATGCCAGTCCTCTATGCCCGCGTCTACCTGATTAAGGCGGTGCGTCAGGTGCTCAATGTGGCCCTCTCGCTTCTCGGCATAGAGCCCGTCACCTACATATAGATATAGTACATATTATTCATAGTTTTACCCATTGGTCCAATGACCAGCCACTACACTACTGCCACTACCCCCCACTGACCCATGTATTGATGTATTGATGTATAACTCTTCTGGTATACGCACCTATGTATCTGTGTATCAAATTGTGCATTAATTGTTGAACAATGATTTAAGAATAAGACTGAAGTCGAGGCTTAGAGTCGACTGCTCTTGATGAAGTAAAACAGTGGTCTCTCTTCTTCTGTGAATAGGGGAATAGGGGGCCAACTGTATCGCTATAAGGGTTATATAGAGTCAAGTCATCCCCAAATACAATAGACTGTGGAGCTCATTCAGTTATGGAATCCGATGGTGCTTTGTCTGAGTGTATCTCGAGATAAAAACGAAGTCGAAAAGATGTTTTCAAATAATTTATAGTGTGTTCTTCAATTATGCAGATATTTCTCTTATAAATCTAGATTCTTAATATCAAATCGTTGCTTCCAAAATTAAATCGGAATCAACGGCTGGAATCAGGACCAAACATACATACATATATTTCAGTGGATGCCCGTCCTCTGGTCCTCTCCTCCAGCTGTACAGACCCTTCCCTCTTTCTAGGAATTTATCTCTTGCTCTTGCATTAGGGACTAAGGACTGGTAGCCAATGGGGGGCTCACACACGCACACACTAGGACAAACGCTTACAAGGATACGATGGGACATTCACACACACAGACAGATGGGGAAACATAAACTGATTGCGATTAAGATTAAAACGTAACATAATACTATATATGGCAGCAGGAATATGGATGGATGGGTGTCCATCATCCATCATCTGGCCTGCTGCTGCTGCTGCTGCTGCTTCTGCCTGTTGAAGGCCTCTATGAAGCGGAAATTGTCGCGGCTGTTGTAGAATAGCTTCTCCATCAGCCGGGTGCTGCCGAGTGAGTTGGCCTTTGTGCCCAGACACATGTTGTACTGGGCGGCCTCCAGCTGGATGTCACAGCTGATGTCGTGGTAGACGTGGACGAGGGTGGGATCCGGGGCACGGAATACGCTGAGGCGACGCCACTGCTCGGCGGCCTCGTTGTAGTCCAGGGGCAGCTCGGCGGTGTTTGAAAGGAACCCTTGCTGGCGTGTGCCCACGCGCACAATCTTCTCTAGGAACTTGACATCCTCGAGGCCCCAGCCGGTGATATCCTTATCGAAGCCATTGATGTCCTCGTCCAGTATGTCCGATTTGTAGATGGCGCAGATGCCGAACCCGAACTGCCGGAAGTATCCGTTCTCATCGTCGATGGGCGGCGGAGAGTCCCCTCCGGCTGTGGTTGTGGCGCCATCCGAGCGACGCTGCGGATCGTACTGGCTGAACACTATGGGCAGATAGACCTGCCGCCCCCGCTGCGTGTGCATGCGCACCCGCTGCAACGTGGCCACCTCGAAGACCATGTCCACATCGATGAACAGGATGATGTCCGCGGGCTGGATGTAGGAGGAGCGGGCGGCCACATCCAAGGCCACACCCCGGGAGAAGGATCCACTGCGCTGGATCCAGTTCACCTGCTGGTAGACGTGACGGCCCCGCAAATCGCTCAAGAGATGCAGGTGATCGCCCAGCTCATCTGGGGCTCCGAATATAACCACCAGCAGGTCGCAGTGCTGCTCCGCCTTGATGCATATGTGCTCGTAGATGCGCAGGAAGCGCTCAAAGGTACCCAGTCGTCCGGAGATCGGCAGTACCAACACAATCTTGTCCTCTGCCTGAGGTAGCAGGCCGCTGGCCATCGTAAAGTGGCTACTCAAACGCGCCATTCCACTGTGTAGGATGCTGCCCAGCAGACCTGAAAGGAACGGTGCGGAAGTAAGTGTGATTTGCTTGGCGGATGCGGATGCGGACTCACTCTGCTGCAGGGTGACATTGTAGAAGTCCTCATCGAATTCCTTCACAAAGATGCCCGTGAAGGCACGCTGCACGTAGAGGTGTCTGCGGACGGGAACTGTCATCTTCTTGCCCCGATACTTCTTGTAGATGAGCAGCAGGTCCAGTATGAGGTCCTGCCCATGGAGGGCATCCAGTCGATGGTAGCCATACAGCAGCTCCCGGAACTCAATCACCCTGCCGCGCTGCCGTGAATAGTTATTGATGTTCTCCATCACTTCGGTGATCACATCCTCGAGTCCCTCGCGCATCGACGAGTCTATCTTCTGCTTGGGATTCGCCGAGCTGGCCGAATAAAGGCTCCGTGCTATGAAGGACCAGTCCAGCAGATCCTCCGTGCTCCCGGGTACAAATTTGTTCAGTTCCGGGCTAATTCCTGCAGAGAGAAACGAAAGCGCACTTAAGTGATCGAGTCGATGATAGCTCGTGGCGGCGGGTGGGAACTGGGTGAATGCTAATTAGCCGCCGTATTCCATGTCTCCGCTGGATACCAGGAGGTCAGCAGTCAGCAGTCAGCAATCAGCAATCAGCAGGTAGGCTTTGCGTGTTTGGGGCTGCCTTTAAATTGAATGATTGATTGACTGGCATATTTGGAAGGCAGTCAGAACGGAATTCCCAGTGTAGTACACGAGTCAAATTATTGGAAGATGCCACCACAAACGTTGGGCCAGCTGCTGTCGCTACTGGTGATCCTGGGACTGCCCATGGCCTTCTGTGCCAATGTCCCTCCGCTGTTGAAGCACGGGAGGGAGGGGCCAACGCCGAGGTCGACGGGAGGCTCAGCCGTGGAGGAGCTGACAGCCAGCTATTGGCTGAAGCAGGCGCGCGATCAGGTGGCGGCTCGACTGGACCGCACCCAGGACACGGTCACGGACGGGCGTAGGGCTAAGAACATCATCATGATGCTGGGCGATGGCCTGTCCATCACCACACTGACGGCGGCGCGCATACTCAAGGGCCAGCGCCAGGGACGCAGCGGCGAGGAGACCAAGCTGGCTGTCGAGGAGTTCCCGTACTCCGGCTTGTGCAAGACCTACTGTACCAACGAGCAGGCCCCGGACTCGGCCTGCACGGCCACCGCTTACTTGGGCGGGGTGAAGACTAGCAGCGGCACCGTTGGCCAGAGCGCCGCCGGCGAGAAGGTGGATTCCCTCAGTATGTGGGCCCACCGTTCGGGCAAGGCCACGGGGCTGGTGACGACGACGCGTGTGACCGATGCCAGCCCGGCGGCGGCATATGCTCACGTGGCCAGGCGCAGCGACGAGCTGGAGATTGCCCGCCAGCTGGTGGACGAGGAGCCGGGCCGCCACTTTAAGGTGATCCTGGGCGGCGGATTCGGAAAGTTCGGTCTCGAGCGACGCGATGGCCGGGATCTGGTGCAGAATTGGCAGTCTGCCCATCCGGAAAGTTGTCTCGCCCGCTCGCTCAGCGAGCTGCGCGGCTGCGTCAGCTCCAATGGGAGCATGCTGGGGCTGTTCAGCGACAGCCACATGGCCTATCACCTGGCCGCACACAAGGAGCAGCCAAGGCTCAGCGAGATGACAGCGGTGGCCATTGAGCGCCTGTCGGAGCATCCCGACGGCTATTTTGTGTTCATCGAGGGCGGCCGCATCGACCACGGCCACCATGAGACGCGCGTCGGGTATGCCCTGGACGAGATGCTCGAGTTTGATGCGGCCATCGAGATGGCCCTCCGCCTGACTGATCCCAAAGAGACGCTCATCGTGGTCACCGCCGACCACTCGCACACCCTTACCATGTCGGGCTATGCAAAGCGCGGCACCCCCATCCTGGGCATGGACGATCTCCAGCGGGACGTGAACGGGATCCAGTACAGCACCCTCAATTACGCCATTGGCAAGTGGCAGAGTCAAGGAAAAAACGGCCAGCGCGAAAGTCCCGGCAAGACCCTCAGTCAAAGTGCGTAGCTCCTGAATCCTCCTTGAGTACGTTATTCCCATAACTGAGCTCTCCTTCTTCGCTCTCTTGCAGCTTCCTTCACGCCCAGCTACATCAACGGACGTAAGGGAGTCCACTCAGGCGAGGATGTGCCCATCTTTGCCATAGGTCCGCAGTCGCATCTTTTTGGCGGAATTATGGAGCAGAATCTCCTGCCCCACCTTATGGGCTATGCGGCTGGTCTGGACTCCGGCGACACTGCATACGAGGTCCAGCGAAAAGTCGACACATCCTAAGTTTTGTTTTACCTTTTGGTTTTAGCGTTCTTTCAAATAAAATGTTGTAATGAAGAAAATTTGATTTGTATTTCAAACACCTGTTGCGCGGTTGCTGTGCTTAGGGCTGCATTTGGAACGCTATCGATATCGAATTTCATGATATTTTCATATATGGTTATATATACTTTTACGCTTCATCTGATGCATGAAATCTTATATACCGCAAATTCAATATAGCGTTCTTATTGCTGGTCTCACTTTTCAATTGAAATGTAGTGTCATACGACCAGTATTGCAGTATTTCTCTTCCATATCGATATACCTCGTGATTTCGATATTGAGCGCCAAAAGAATTCAAATAGTTGCGACCACCAGACTTGCAGTTTATATGATAATTTGTGCTACTATCAATATTGAATATTGACTGACTTCATGCGAAATCCAAGACTAAAACGATGTATTCGATTGTGCGTAAGTATGGGACGTACCTAGTATATTGTGATCCTGAAAGTGTCTCTTCCCGGAATCGCTATCCGGCGAAACGCTGGGTAGCATGTAAGTGCTTTCGTCGGGCACATCCAGATACTTGGCCATGCGCTTGATGTCCCGATGCAGAAGCAGAGACTCCTGGCGCATCTCCTCCGCTTTCAGGCCCTGCTTGGTGGGTAAAGAGCGGAATCGAAACTGCAATCTGAAGTGTGAAAATGTGTCGTACGCACCTGTATGTAGGAGTGGAGGCGATACATGAGTGGTGCCTGCTTGATGGGATGCAGAGTGATAGCGTTGTGGATCTCCTTGCGCTTCAGTTTGCCCGTGTACGCGTTGCGACCGCTGGAGTTGTGCCGCAGGATGTACTGCATCTGAGGGAGGAGTGAAGCTTAGCAGGGAAAGAGAAGGTGACGGAAACAGAGACGGTTGTGATCGGCTACCTCATAGTTCCAAGTGCACGGGATGCCGGCAAACTTCTGGACACAGCGGCCCACCTCCACGTCCTCGTGCGTGCTGTAGAGATTCTTGAGGCAGGTGGGTATGTGCGGTGCCACGCGTCTCAGCGTCTCGCTGCTGAGGATCACGCCCGGCCCGCCCATGCAGAAGTTCTCGTCGAACTCCAAGGAGAGCAGGCCGAACTCCTCACTGTTGCCCTTGCCCGCCTGTCCAATGAACTGCGGTTTCGAGCTGTCGATGGAACGCAGGAAGCGCTCCAGCTTGTTCGGCTCCATGTACACATCGTCGTCGGCACGGATAAACCACTCGAAGCGGTCGATGTAGTGTTCGTACATATAGTACAGCATCATGAAGGACTTCTTCTGCGGCGGGTATCGGTCGTCGACGTTCTTGAGCCCCACCACCGGCAGCTCCTCCGAGTAGCTGCCCTCCGAGCTGAAAAATGCAATGCGGCCGGGCACCTCTTTGCCCCATGTATCGTACACGGCTCTCGCCCGTCCCTCCAGAAAGCTCTTGGCCGTCATCACACCCACGAACACGAGATTCCGCTGCGAGTTCTGTATGGTGTCCTCGTCCTCGAGACCAATTATCTCGTTGGGCGTCTTCAAGTTCGTTGGCCGCAGGTTGCACCGCTTCACGATCTCCAGGGCCCGGTAGTTCTTCAGCACGGTGCCGATGCAGAGGCCCAGCGCAATCCCAAAGCAGGCAATGATCAGCGTTTTGCGCTTGGTCATTGTGTGCTGCAGCATGGTGGCGGCGCTGGTTTCGGTGTGGGTGTACTCGGCAAGCCTCGGACCCTCAGCAAGCGACGCACATGGGATTCTGATTCTGTGCCAGAGAAAGAGGAGAACGTTGATTTTGATCGTTTGGATGGAAGGGCAAATTGATGGCTCGTGGCCGCCGTGGCGCGTGCCCCGACGTTAATGCCAACATCCGACAGCCTCTGTACAGTGTTCCCCCCAACAATGCTCTCCCCTGAGCGCTTTTCTGGAAAATGCATCACTTAAGACTTGTACTTCATAGAAAGGCTATCATGTGGGCGTACAATCGCTTGAAGTACCTACTAATAGATCGATCAGATGGATCATTAGAGGGTCCGCAATCCACGGATCATCTTTGGGAATAGAATCATTTGCCAACTCTAATAATTTCGCTTCCATTTCCCCCCCTGTACTCTACTATATACATACATATGTGTACATACATATATGCGTAGGTCAACACGAACTCCGATTTATTCCAACAAGTGTTGAGTGCACATACACTCTGGGACACACAGACACACTGGGAAATATTTGCATTTCCTTGGAATTGTTTTCTGAGGCGCACAGATCTTCCAAGACCCTCGGACACTTGAGTCGAGACTTAAAATAAACGCTGGGTCCGGCACTCAGCGGCGCGCGGGAGCTGGGTGTCTGCTTATATAAGTACGAATACGAGTACGAGTACGAGTACGAGTACGAGTACGAGTACGATTACGGGTATATTTGGACGATCGCATCGCGTTGCTGCGGCTGTAAATTGGACATCGCACAATTGGATCGTGCGGGCAATTGAGAGCCACCTTACGGCTAGAGTCTCGGTTGTGGATGTGGATCGTGGATCTGGTGTTGTCTTACGGTCGGACTACAGCCAAATGCTAATTAAATAAACAAACAGCGCGGAAAACTATTTGGTTTACAAATCAAAGGCCGGCAAAACGTAAACTGGAGCAGACACACACACGCCTCAGAATGTGCCATTAGAATCGAATCGGTTCTTCGTATATTGGATTGGATTGGATGGGATCGGATCGGATCGGATTGGATGGGTCTTGACGCACAAGCATTTTGCATTACTCTCCGACGCTGTCCCTCACCTGAGATCCTCTCCCGCTCTCAGTGGCTGACTCACCTGTCCAGGTGCTCTGCTCTGCTCTGCTCTTGTCTGTGAGGGTGTGCGTGTTCGACCTTAACAGCTAGTTAGAGGCACCCACCCAGTCCTCTCTCTCCCACTCGGACGACTCTGCCGTGCGTATCTCAATTATGCAATCGATCGAGTTCGATGGACTGTTTATACTTCGATAGTTACTCAATATCTATTTTGATTATCGCACTGTTTCCCCCCAATATCTGTCATTCTCGCACTCGCACTCGCACTCTCTCTCTTTGTCTCTGCCAGAGATAAGGTCTCCCGCCGCGTGGAGAGGTTCTGGGCAATACTGTGATTTATTGCAATTTTTTTTTGTTTAAGGCTTATCTCTGGGGAATTACTAATCTGCGCTGCTGCTGCTGCCCGTGGAAGGGTACTATTCGCACTCGTGCTATGAGAACTGGACGGACAGACTCGACTGGACACTGATGTCGCTTAATAGTAGCTCGTAGATTTTTTGATTGTACAAGTACGATTTTGGGTCCCTGTACGGACCTTGACAGCAGCTCGAGACGTCAATAATGGGTCGTTCTTTATGGTTCTGCTTTTAATCTGAGCTTGCGTTCATTGATCTCTCTTCAAATTAAAATCATGAATTTTCAGCTTTAACTTGGACCCGAATTAATGAAGGAGCCCCCCAAAAGGCGTACCCATATTTCAATCTAGTTCAATGCTCCATCCATAATTGAGTTGCAAATAATGCAAATTTATCTCTTCATTTATCCATCTGTCGAGTATCACATTAACATTTTTGTGCCATGGCATTTGGGATCGCTAGATCCCATGAGGGGACAGCGTTAGTGGCTCTATGAAGGCTACTGAAAGACTTCATCTTTCGAATGTTCCTATCCTAGGAGCAAAACACTAATGATGGTAGGCCGTCCACTCATAGCTCAACATTGAGACTAGTATGGGTTGCAAGTGGCCCTGATATTAACTGAGGAAGCTCTTTTCGGCTCACCTGTTCCACCGATCACGTTTCCGCCGATTGCTCAGTTTGCACTTTCTTCTGCCTCATGCAATGGTCATGCATGGATCGGGTGAAGCCTGATGGCCTGGTTGATGGGTGGTTCTTGGGTTCTTGGTTGTCTGGTGGATCGGATCGGAGACTTGTTGGAGAGGGTTGCTCTTGGGCACAAGGCACTCGACTGTTGACACTTGGACGGCGCTGCGTGTATCTGTCTCGGCGTTTGGCGTCTGGGGCTTTGCAATGCCCCGCCGCACACACAAACACACACACACACACACACACACACACACACAGAGGCACTCAGACCGACAGAGAGACAAGCACACAGATACGATTACGCATACATTGGTAGGCGAATGAGCACACGCGGTTTAATTATTATTAGGTTTTGTTGCTGCTGCTGCTGCTGCTGTTACGACGATAAGTTCGCAAAGGTCGATTCCACGATTCACGCAATACCACAATTTACGAAACAAAAAGATAATAAAAGAGCATACACTCGCCAACAAATAAACAAACAAAAACAGACAAGAAAGAGGCCAAGTTGTTATTAAACAATTTCCATCTCTTCTGCAATTTCACTTTTCACTTTTTACCGCAGGAAAAACAGTACAAGAACAAACCTCGGCCGGACAAAAAATAAATTTAAAAAATATTAAGAATGGGCCAGAGTCGCTTCAACTTGTTGCTGCAGAGAGCACGAGAGAGTGAGAGTGGAGCCGGAGCGAGAGCGAGAAGCAAGCCAGCCGGGCCGGCCGACGACCACCTTTGCCTTTGCCTGCGAAAGTAGCTCTCAGATACACGCGCACGTCGGCTCTCTTCTGTCGCTGGCAGCCAGCTGCTCTGTTTGCGTCAGAGATGCGTCCATGACACGCCAAAACGTGATCTCTTCGCCACTCACGATCGCAGTGAGTATTTTCATCAAGCGATTGGGATATTTTTGGTAAAGCGGCAAGAGAATTTCTACCTAGACCTATCGATTGAGTAGGGGAACGGAAAAATAGACAAGTATAGGAAATTTAAAGGATCTCAGTCATCAAGGAAAATATGGAAACAAATTGGTTCCTTAGAAGCCAGAAGAGTATTTGTTTTTACACTCTATTACAATCACAAAAGATCTTGAGAACACAATAAGGAATCCGTAACAGTCCAGGGGGAAGACCTGGCCCAGGCACCGTCAAAATCAAAATTAAATCCCTCGATGATCCTTCCAAATGTAACTTAACGGCGAATCTTTGTATTATGATTACGAGTATTATAGATGGAAGTCACAGTTTCGTCTTCTGTTTACCGAACTATCAGCGAGTATCTGTCTGTGTGTGTGCCAGAGAGATGTGCGTGGCCCCATCTGGTGGCGTGGTCATGGCAACATGTGTCTGCGGCTGGATGAGTCGTCTCCACCAAAATGTGTGTTTCTCTGCTCTCCGTTGATAGTTCGCGGAATTCGCAAAAAACCAATAAAGTTATGGCAGCATCCGACTAGCCAAGACCACCAAGACTGCCTCCGTTTCGGTAACATCAGCATAAGTAAATATTAATTTTCAAATTTTCAGCACAGCAGAAAAAATGATCGACTCTATGGAAAATGCATTCGATTGCCAAGTCTGCCCACCTGTCTCTTTTTTCCTTCAAATTAGTGCTTCAAAGTCAAAGAATATTATAAGCGCTTTGGATAATATGAAAGTTAGAGATGAAGACAATAGGTCAAACGGCTCAGGTCCGCATATATGTATGTACATATATAGTCTGATGATTAATGTAACCTATACATCATACTCTCTCTCTGGGTCTTTTGGTATGGATGTTCGCAATAAGGACGACCAGTAGCAATGTTCTAATGTTCAATCTTGTACTTCGTTTATCTGATTTTCACCTTACGACCAATTTCTGTGTGAGAGAGAGAAAAAGAGAGTAAACACTGCGTTTTATTTGTTCCTTCTGGCTGTAAAAATGATCCCATCCAGGTGCAGATATGCAGTCATTCTCTATGATTCTGCGTTTTCGGTTTTCTTGTCCGTTCAAAACTATGTATGCCACAGATTTTCGTCCTGTCTGATCCGGTCTCATACATGCAGAAAAGATAGATGTTAGACTAAAATTCGAGGAAAATTATTACTAAGCCGAAACTAAATTTAAGTTTTATTTGATATTAAAAATCGCTAGTTGGAAAATTTAAATTTGAGTTGGAAATCTGCCGTTGGATTTAGAGAGCCGCCATCTATCGTTGACTATTCAAAGCCCCATCTGACAGGGGTCGCCACTGAGAAAAGTAACATGGATGTGTCGCTATGTAGAAAGAACGTAGTAATTATGTAGCAATATTTCGATATCAATAAGTATTTTTTATTTCACAGTCTTATCGTTAGTATGGTGAGCGTGAACAGGTCACAGTGTGCGGAAATTCAAATTCCAGAATCTGCATTAAGGTTAGGTTCGGTTAACCTGGGCCTCGCATAGGCCAGTATGGCCCTTAGTTAAAAAGAAGAGAAAGTTTTAGTAGAGTTATCCCGAAATATTAAAACTATAATTATCGAATCTTATTTTGTTCTAAGCTTGAAACAAAATCATGAAATTCAATCAACCATCTCCTCAACGGACGGTGGCACATCGTTTTCGTAGTAAATACGATACGATACCATACGATTATCCATGCAAATGTCTGGTGGAATATGCATGGATTCTATTATGGCCGTACGGAAGGAAGGACTGGGGGCAGGGTTATGTTGTGCTTCGTGTAAATTACGACTAACACTATATATTTTTGCATTTTACATTTAAGCGATTTTTGCATATAACATTAGCTTAATGCCATCATAAATTTTGTGCTCGAATCGAATGGCAATAGATACATTAGCCCCCGGTTCGCGGTTCGAGGTTCGCGTTTCGGTTCGGTTGGGGGCGGTGACGGTGGCAGGGGCTCATTGAATTTCAAAATGATGCTAAAGTGAGAAAAGCTTTCAATTGAATTTAATGTGAAAAGTTGATATGCAAATGAGCCGCGATCTCTGCGATGCTGTTTACTTTATTTATTATTTATTTATTTATCTATCTATTTTGCTGTCGTTTTGCTAGTTCTACCCTTTCAGAGGGTTACAACCATGGAAAGAATAGTTTTATAACACAGAAACGATGAAATTCCGAATCACAGACAGTGGGATCATCACATACAGATCGTTGAATGTGAGATTGCCTTTATCTGCTCGAAAGGACAGTTAAATCAAAAATGCTGATGAAATTTGGATACATTTATTGTACAGAAAGGAAGGATTGTAAAGGAACTTTTCCTAAGACATGGTACGACTATCATATCTGCAAGGGTATCTAAGGCTTCGGCCCTTGAGGCTGGCATTTCTTTCTGGTTTGCTCCATTGCGATTCCGTTGTCGCCTCTGCGGTTGATTATATATTTAATCTTTAATAAATGGGAACATTTAGCAGCCCACAGTTTAGTTTATCGAATTTATCGCGCCAACCTCTTGCCTCTTGCCTCTTCCCTCTCGCCATCGCCCTCGCCCTCGCGCTTGAGCTCATTCGTTGAACCGCCAATTAAATGCACATTAATCATTTACCTGCTCAGCTGCTCTTTGCCTCTCCCTGTGGCAGGAGCTGGCTGTGGACATGTGTTTGCCCATCGGCATTTCAAATATGCCCTCCATCGTACTCCGATCCCCCCGCGAAGGTGCCTCGATCAATCGGCTGGCCACAGCCACAGCTTATCTGCAGTTCCATTTACACGATGACAATCCAAGTGACATGCGTCATGATTTCACGATCTGAAATACGAGTAGTAAAGGGCTTGCAATACATGCTAATAGATGGAAGCAGAGATCAAGACAGCATCAGGTGTCGGATAAACATTTCCCACTATTAATTCTATCGCTCGAACCAGTTCCTAGTTCTATCATGAACTAGTTCGCTTGATGGCTTAATTATCTACTTAACTAATTATCAGAATCTGCTAATATCTAGCAGAATGATCCGTTTCTTCCCTTTAGCTGTGGGCTTTGTTTAAAGTTTGTATTCACGTGCCTATCGACCACTCTTGCTATTCGAAAGTACATAGATCTTCATTGTCTTCTTGAGTTATTTATCTTATCTCTGATATATATGTACGTATATATACATCCACTGTTCGTTGCTCAAGTCGCAGCTTTTCATTTCCAACCGCATCTTTCTCTTTTCCCCCCTACATATTTTATGATATTTCGTGGTTCGTGGCTCTTCAGCATGCATTATTCTGGCCCGATTCCAATGTCTCTAACCTACAGACTGTCCAGAAGATCTTATATACTCGTACTTGGCCTTAACGCAGAGATTGTGGCTGCTTTAGTTGGGTAAATATTTTTCGATCCACATCATTTGTCAGCATTTTCCACTCTTTTCCACTCTGCTGCCACTCCGTATCCGTACCCGTACAATGGGGCAACAAAATGTGCAACTCAGCGTCGCATTTCAGTTGATTTGCCACCGTTGTCCGCTCCTCTGGCTTGTTGTTTGATTAAATTGTTTCAATTGTAAACGTTGCTCGCAATTTGTCAAGTCCAAGTGGCGTGTTTGTGTTGCAGTTGTTGCTTGTGGCGCGTGGCGCGACTTCGAATTAAAAAAAAAAAAATGCAAGAATGCAGAAGCCAAAGGGGTTCGGCTATGTGATACTGAGTGGCTGCTGGCTTAAAATGGTGGCCAACTTCAAATCGTCAGATCTTCATCAGATTTTAGGCAAGTTTTAAAAAATATTTCAATTCGAAACCCAACCAAAAGCTAAGAAAATGCTCCAAGCTATCATTGTGGCTCGCATCGACTTGGACTTTAAAAGATCGAAATAATGTTTTTCATCAAATACCGCACACCCAACGTAGAATCGATCAGACGCCACAACAGATACAACTTAACAACTTATATCCTGTAATGAAGGTTCCATATCCATATACACCCCTTGGGCAACGAGCCGTCCAGGGTAGATACTGGAAAAACAAACATCAGACTCAAATTGCCAATTTTTGTGCATTTTGTGCTCCTTTTCAAAACTAATCACGACTAATGAAAGACAACCACAGCAACAACGTCAAGTAGCTAAATGCGGCATGGCTTTTGGGGTCGACCACGCCTTCTCATACGTACAGAGAGGGAGAGATAGAGATAGAGAGAGATAGATGGAGAGAGAGAGAGAGATAGAGAGAGATAGAGAGAGAAAGAGAGGGAGAGACCGCCCCCACATCTGGTGATTGACAGAGCGCCTGGGCACGGCCACAACACAATCGAAGCCGCTTCAATCTGGACCCCAAAGTCAGCCCCAGATCTAAAGCCAGCGAAGTCGGAGCCAGAGCCAGAGCAACAGTCAGAGCCAGAGCCAGAGCCAGATACAGAGCCAGCAACTGTCCCCGTTTGGTCACCCGGCGCTGGCCATAATTTAACCAAATGTCGTGCCAACGACAATGACGTCGACATTGCCAGTCAACTGATCACGCTCTTGTTTCGTTTCGATCAGTGATACCCTTGCAGGCAGGGCATCACCCATCTGCCGTTGAAGATTGTTCCGGAATTGTTCCTTTAGATCTGAATGGATCTGGATAAGCTTTGGCACAAGTGCCAATTGGTTGTGTGAGAGGCACTACGGAGAGAAAAAAATCATGAAACTTAGAAAGTTT